CGACTCAACGGCACATAACAACAACAACATTCCCAACAACAGCAATAACAAGAAAAAAAAGTAACATTTCAAAAATTCAAAGACTTCATTGTATATGAATAACTAATGTTAATATAACTTCTTATAGTTCTGGATGAGCCAGTAAGCACAAGTACGAGTATACAAATGATTGCTTTTAAAAACAAAACCCCAGGAGCTCTGGTGGCCTAGTGGCAAGAAGCTGCACTGCAAGCCTAGAGGTATGCAGTTCTAATCCACCAGGTGCTGTGCTGGAGGAGGGGCAATCTCCTCCTGTACCAGTCAGATTCGATTTGACAGTACACACAAAAAATAATAAAATTATAAACTCGACGGCACATAACAACAACAACATATTGGCGAGAGTTTAACAGGTAAACAAGCTGTCAGTGATAAATTTCAGAAGCACACATTGGGATTCCCTAGGTCTTTTGTTTGGCAAGGGATTTCATATTAACAAGCACTTCAGTCCTAAAAATAGGACTAAAACTCAACATTCAAATTATTAAAAATTCTTAAAATACAAAATGATACTGCAAGTTTCTCACCACTGGGTCGATTGGCAGCATCATTATAGATGGTGAAGAAATTCAGATTAACAGCTTTAGTTTGCTTGTCTTCATAATCAACACTCTTGCTACCAGCAGCCAGGAAATCAAAAGATGAATTGCACTGGGAAAGTCTGCGGTCAGGGACCTCTCCAGAGTACTAAAAAGGACCATGTCAGTCTGGAGACTATGGTATGCCTGTTAAAAGCAATAGTCTTTGCAGTTACTTGCTATGTGTCAGAAAGCTGGACAATGACTAGGGATGATAGAAATAGATGTCTTTGAACTGTGGACTGCCAGGAGAACAAACAGGTTCGTCCTAGAGAAAGTAAAACCAGGCTACTCTTTAGAGGCAACATGTTGCAAGGAGGGACCAGTCCTTGAAAAGGGATATCATTCTTGAGACGGTGGAGGGACTGCACAAGAGAAAGACCCTGGATGAAATGGAATGATTCAGGGGAGCTCTAGTGTCCTAGTGGCAAGAAGCTGCACTGCAATCCCAGAGGAGCATGGTTCAAATCCACCAGATGCTCTGCCAGGAAAGGAGGGACAATCTCCTCCTGTACCAGTCAGATCTGATTTGACGGTACATGCACACACACAAATAATAAAATTAAAATAAAATAAAATTAAAAAAAAAAGAAATGGAATGATTCAGTGACTGGTATAATGGAGGTAGGTGTGTCAGAGACAATAAGTTTGGCACAGGATAGTGCAGGGCTTAGAGCTGTTGTACATAGGCTCTCTATGAGTCACAAGTGACTTGATAGCACATAACAACAGTAGTTCATGCAGCACAACATGCAATGGAAAGGGAAGAAACATTTTGGGAATAGTGGATTTTGTACACTTTTCGGTAAAGTGATTATCCCAAAGGTAGCAAAATGGCCAATGTAGGAATTCTGTCCTTGATTAGCCTCTTGAGGGTTATCAAATCATTTTAGTTTAAGGCTTCTCCTGACATTGAGAGTTGGAGTAGACTTGTACAATATGCACCAGTGTCTATATGTTAGCACCTCGGACTTAGTTCAGATTTATACCATTTCCCTCATTAGATTTTTTTTTAAAAAGAAAACTCTGAGACTGGGAAAGTGGGCCTGCAGGATCTGAATTGCCTCACTTCCAGTAATGCCTTTTCTCCCTCAGTTTACAACAGAGGATCAGCATCAACAGTCTATCCAGCCCTTCAGTCTATAGTCAAAAACCAAACCCACAGCTGTCGAGTTGATTCTTATTTATGGTGACCAGTCGTTGGATTTCAGGTTATACATCTTCATGGGAGGAAATTGCTCATCTTTCTTCCATATAGGAGGTGGCAGATTCCAACTAGTGACTTCTCAGTTTGCGGTCAAGCATGTAAATGCATCATGCCACCAGAGCTCTTTATAGTTAATCAGGACTACTCAAAGATGGGATGTCTTAAGAAAGCTTGAGACCTTGTAGACAGCTCCAGACAGGAGATTCAAATGTGGTACTGTAGGTCTCCTCAGTGGGAGCCGCTCAGTGAGACCCAGTGGTTGACAGAGATTGAGACATCCCTATAGGGTGAGAAGGGAGGATCAGACAGTAAGAGAAATACGGCAGCAACAAGAAAACAAACTTAAGAGTTCAAATCCCTATGTAATTACACAAAAGTGAATGTGGTACAGTGAATTAATTAATAGGGCCCTTCAAAACACAATCTTTGTAGCTTCCACCAAATAAGTGAATGAGCCTATGCAATCAAAGTGGATGGCACCCTTGTGAAGGTGACACCATGCAAACAAGGTGTATGGAACCCTAACAAAGTAATCTGTCAACTGTGTCATTTTGCTAGGGTTAAAGGGAGACAGAAAGGAGCTGAGACATAGATATTGAGAGGTTAGGATATAACAAGAGCAAGAGGATGGACAGGAACTAGGAGACCATGAGATGGCCGTAGTGGGGCCTGTTGATTCATGAGTTCTAACATTTGTCGAAAATCTCTAGCTGGGCCTGGCAGCACAGGACAAGCAGCTGTCCTGATTAAAAAAGGACATCCTAACTTGTTCCTGTTACTTACAAGTTGACCCTGATACCATCACAAGCACAGTTTGATTTAGTTCTGTGAGATGTTGCAGCAAACCCTAAGATGGGAGGGGGAGTACTGAGTGGAAGTGGAGTAGTATTAGAGACAGAGTAGGACAGCAATTTGGAAAAGCTGAGCTTCTTTAACTTTGTCCTCATAGGAAACAGCTTTGTGCAGATGCTTTTTAAAAAAATTGGGGAACTCTGGTGGCCTAGTGGCAAGGAGCTG